TGGGATCCAAGGTGACCCGCCTTCTGGGTTGTACCACTCACAGGGAATGCTGGGCTCTGGCCAGGAGGCCTGGGCCCGTGGACTCAGGTCCGCTGCCTGGGAGGGACAAGCTCCCACTGCCCCTGCCTCGGTGCCTCCTCTGGCATGGCCCCTGAGGGCATGGGAGCCCCAGGTGTCTGTCAACCGAAGATCCCGGGGACGGGAAGGCTGGTGTCACAGGGAACATAGCTTCTGGAAGCTTTCTTGGCCGAGAGGAGTGGGGAGGCTCACTGATGCCATGGCTAAGGGCTCCTGGGCCCCTGTGGTTCAGTGTACTGGGCTGAGGGCTAGCCTCCGGGGTGGGCAGAAGTGAGGGCACCTGTGGGTAATGTTAACCCCACTGTTTGAGTGTCTGGGGTCGATGAACCTGTGCCTGGCTCTTACTCATGTGATCCTCATGATGGTCCTGTGCTGTCCCTTTAGTGTATAAAGCAGTGGTTCTCAACCTTGACTGCACATTAGAATCACCTGGGAATCTTTCTAAAATCCTGATTTCTGGGCCTTGAAATTCTGAGGCCCAGAAATCAGGATTTTAAAAAGATTCCCAGGTGATTCTACTGTGCAGCCAAGGTTGAGAACCACTGGTATAACGAAGCGGAGACTTGTCCAAGGCCACGGCCGGCGAGCGGCAGAGCTAGGATTGGAGCTTGACAACACTCACTACCTTCCCTGAAGCTGGGTGTGGTGGGGAACCCCCAAACACCAGAGCCCCAGGCCCCACCAGATCAGTTGCCCCCATGGGTAGGTCCCTGTGACTGCAATGATCAGAATGAAACACTGACCCTGGTCAGGGGCTCCCGGCTGTGACCTGCATCCCCTGTTCTGGAAGCATCCACAGGGGCCAGCACACTCTGAAGTGGACCTGGATCTTGCTCAGGCGAGGGGGCCCCCTCATGTGCCTGGGCAGGACCTGAGCCTGCTGTCTGTCCGTCCTTGAGGAGGGTTGGAGGAGAAGGGGCTGGGCAGGGCTGGGGGTGGGGGTCCTCCAGGGAGGGCGATTCCCCAGGAGCCAGGGCACTGAGGATAAGCCGCCTCCCAAGGCGTTTAGCTTCTCTAAGCCTCAGTTTCCGTATCAACAAAATGGGGGTAGTCTCCCAGGTCAGTGTGAGAAGTCCGTGGGATGAGCCAAACAGGCCAGGAGTGGCTGAAACAAGTGCTCAGCAGAGGCTGCTATTTCTCCCACCCCTCCCCCTCCCACCTCCCTATTTTTCCTCCTCCGGTGTGTCTGTTACTGCCCGGCTCTGCCATTTCCTAGCTGTGTGGCCTCCGGTTACTTACGATCTCTGAGCCTACTTTCCTGTCCTGTAAAACGAGATGCTCACACCTCCTTCTCAGGGTTATCGTCCCCACGAAGCGCCCACACAGTACCTGGCCATAATCCGAAGGCTCCGCGATACACCCAGCAGCTCCGAGCCCAGCCGCCACTTGGGCGTTCACCTGCCTGACTCTCGATCGCCACCTCGTGGTCTGACTCCGGTAACTGCAGGTTTAGTAGGAAATTCAAAGTAGTTTCTGATCTGTTCTGGGGATTTAGTAGCAAAGCCCTCCACGCTTTGATAAGGGAGGGGAGGCGTGAAAGTGGGGCGCTGCCCTAGAAAGGCGCCTGGGGGGTCTGCCGCAGGCGGGAGATGCAGGCCGGGCCGCGGGGCACATTCCCACAGGTTCTGTGCTAAGAACTTTCTGTACATCACTCCTTTCTGGGAGTGATGGGCCAGAGTTTCCAAGTGAAGAAATAGATGCTTCTGGGACATCAGGGCTCCAGGGAATTGAGAATGCATTCTCTTTATCTAAGGAGTGCGCACAGGAGTTGTAAAAGTTATGATTATTCTTTAGGACTCAAATAAGTACATTACATATACTCATCTGTAGTATTCAAAATCTTATTGTGGTGACGTTATTCCCAGCTAAATAGGAGGATGTGCCAGGCGTCCTCCCACCGCCAAGGGCCTGACTGACCCCTGGCACGCACCAGGATGTCACCTCCTGCCATCTCTGGCTCTTGGACCTTCAATACAACCTGGGTGTGCCTCACCGCACTGGTGCCCCGCAGGTCTCACCTGTGAGCATTTGTTCTGGCTGTTGCTTCCTCCAGGAAGCTTTCCTTGATTTCCCAGGCACAGCTGACGAACCTTGTCACCCACCTACTCTGAGTCCTTTATGCCTCTCTTGTCACTTATTCTTATGCGCTGTCCAGGCAGGCCTGGGGCTGGGAGGGTCTGCTACGAACAGGACGAAGATAAAGAGGATGAGCAGTCGGGGCTGGGTAGAGGGGTGTGTGTGAGTGTGTGTGTGTGTGTGTGTGTGTGTGTGATGGCAGGCTTGGGCTGTCTCCATTTTCCAGTCAAGCCCCAGGGCTCGCTCTGAAGTCAAAGCCATAACAGAGTGCCCCTGTCTGTCTGCCTGGCACAGGGTCTGGGACACTCGGAGGCCTAAGGGGGCATCGAGGCAGCGCAGCGCTGGCTGCAGGATGGGGGCTCCTGGGGGACCTGGGGAGAGCAGTGCATTCATCCGTCAAGTGGACATTACAATTGCCCCCGCCCCACGGGCTGTGAGGAGAAAGTGAAACAAGATGTGTAAGGCTCAGCACAACACATGGGGCGCGGCCTGTCTCCCCGCTTACAGGGGTCTCTCATGGCCCCGGCAGCCTCCTGGCCTCACCTCTCCGCCTGTCCCACTGTCCAGCAGGCCGGCCATTGGACAGCAGGCCGCTGCATCACTGAGCTCAGGGCAGTCTGTGACTAGCAATGACCGGAGTTTGGCTAGTGTCTGTCCGGCTTGAGGCAGCCCACGCCCTCTGTCTCCTGAGACTCAGCCTGCATTTCCTCCCCTTCCCATGACTTCACTTTCTAGGCTGGGGGAGAGGCCGGGCAGAGAGCGGAGGATTAGCACAGCCCCTCCCTTCTAATCCCCCCACCACCACATTTTTTAGTGACAGGATTTTAAGCGGTTGCTATAGGCAAGAGAGTGGCAGCCCGCTACTGAGGGGCTGTGCAGGGGGGCAGGGGGAGGCAGTGGGAGGCTTGGAGGCCACTCTCACAAGCCTGGGCCTGGGGCTTGGACACGAAGACCCAGTTTAGTCCTGTCTCTGTGCTGTGCAGCCTCGGGTCGAGTGACTTAACTTCTCTGGGCCTCAGTGACGCCACTTTGAAGACAGGAGAGAGTTTCCTGCCCCCGGGTCCCGGGCCTGACCTTGGAGGACAAGATGGCAGGGCCAGAGTTGGGCTTAGGGCGGCAGGGGGTGGTGGCAAGGCCCTGCATCCGCAGCCAAACCTGACCTTGAACTCTGGTTCCAGTGGCCCTTGTCAGCTTTGTCATACTGACCCGGCTGCCACCTCTTTCTGAGCCTCGGGGTTCCCTCCTGAAACCTGACACTTAATGCCGGCCCCGCAGGGCGTTGTGGGGTGCACAGGAGGCAATGCAGCGAGGGCCTCAGCATGTCTAGCTGCCCAGAAGCCATGCGGCTGTGAATCACCCAGAGGCCGCAGAAAAGGGTGCAGGGCAGCATCTGCCTCCAGGGGGCGCTGGTGCCCACGGGCAGAGGAAGGGAAGCTGGAGAGGAGCATTAGTGGGTGAGGGCAGGGAGAGAATCTTAGGACATCAGGTCTGTGGACATGAGGCCCAGAAGCCTCCAGGATGGACAGACAACAGATGTACAATGACAGACCCATGTGTGGACAGACGGACATCCTCACCAGCACAGACATCTCCATATGCAGATCTCGTCTTGTGGGTAGACCCAGCTGTGCACAATGCACCGATACCTACAGACACCCGGCTCCATGCACAGTATCCCTGGGCTGACCGACCCACAGAGCTGTTTCCATACACACACACACACACACACACACACACACACACACACGGACACAAGGAGCCTGGGGACAGTAAGGAACACACTTTGAGAGGCTCTGCACCTCCACCCCTTCCCCACCCCTACCACATCTCCCCTGACCCAGCCCCACGGCCTCATGATACTCAGGGCTTGGCCTCTGCTTCTTCACTCTCCTGTGTCACATTCCCTTGGGCGAGCTCACCCACCTGGTTGGTGAACACCTGGGTGCTCACCTCTGGTCCCGTGGGGGCCCAGCCCTGCTGCGGGACATGTCCCCTTGGATGCCTCCAGAGGCCCAAAGCTCCGCACACCCGAGACCAGAGGGCTCCAGGATGGGGTTCCTAGATGTTGCTTTGACTTCCCTGGTGCACCCACATCTTGGGAATCTGTCCCCCTTCTTCCTCCCCACTGTTGCTGCCCTAGTCAAAGCCGTGTCACCTCTCACCTAGGTGAGAAAGGTGACTCAGTTGACCTCCCTGCCCCCCTCCAGTCCACCTGACCTAATCGGAGGGTCTAGCCTTGCCTCCAGCCTCATTGCTTCTCCTCCGCCCCCCAAACTTAGCTATTCTTGGGGTTTAAGGAGCTCACTCGAGTTTGCCTGCCTGTGAGGTTTCGTACAAGCCTGAGCACTCCCAGACATTTCTCCTTCTCATCCAGTCCTACCATGCTGGATAACTTTGGATCTCAGCTCGACATGTAGCTTCTTCCAGGAAGCCCTCCATGATGTTCCACCCCTCCAGATGAGGTCAGGGACCCTGTAACAAGGCCTTACTGTACCGCAACTGAGCTCATATAACACTCCTTCCTGGAGTCAGGGACCAGCAATCCCTGGTTCTTAGCCTGACAGCTGGCACTTAAGGGGCTCTTCCTATTGGTTGGATGAATGAATGAATGAATGAGTGTTGGGGAATGAGATGGATGTGTTTAAGGGTGGAGATGGTTCAAGACTGGGATAGGACAAGGATGGAGAGATGAGGATTATGAAATAGGACAAGAGAGTGGGTTGGGCAAGACTAGGGACCCCAAGCCCTCCTCCTTGACCTGCTGTCCCTGGCAGCCATCAGGAAATCTGCTATCGTCTCAGCCCAGCACAGTCCCCCCGTCCGCCCCCGCAAGGAGAGTCACCACAGGCGTGTACAGGTTGGTTTATTTACAAATATACTGATGTCTCATTTTTGTTGTTGTTGTTTCCATTTTCTGCTTTTGTGGGGAGCGCGGAAGGTGAGAGTGGAGGGCAGGGTGGGGGTGGTGATGTGGTAAACGCTAATAAATAATTTAACAATGACAAGTTATTAAATAAAATGTGTCTGGGGATGGTGGGTGGGCAGTGAGAGTCTGTACAAGGAAAACAGAGGAATGGCCAGTGGCCCGGTTCCCACACCCAGCTAGGCTGGGCTCCTGGGGGAACCCAGTGGGGTGGGGGGCACCAGCAAAGAGGCTCATTGGAAATGGCCCCTCCCAAGGGCCACAGGCTGGAGGGTCGGTCCTCCTGCTCCCCAGCCCCCAGGCTGTGTGTGCCCGGTAGTGCAGGCCTGTCAGCCTCCATGTGCGTCCGGGTGTGAGTGTGCGTGTCCATGTGCGTGCGTGAGCGTAGACCCCTTCCCCACAGGGTGCAGTGAGCCCCAGAGCTGTGGGTTCTCCCAGGCGGGAGGTGAGATTCTCACCCCAGGTGGTGCTCAGAGCTCAGGTGGGGCCAGGCAGGGCTCGGCCAGCTCTCCCTCCTCCAAGGTTCCATGTGTGTGAAGTGAGGGCCGCCAGCTCCAGGTGAGTGGGCAAGACAGGTGAGCCCCTAAAGGAGAAGGTCATGCTGGGGGCCTGACCCTGCTGATCTGCAGCCCCCCACCTCCACCTCCTCCAGGAGGCCTTCCGGGATGCCTAACCCACTTGCACCGACCCCTTCTCTTACAGGCTCTGCGGGACCCCGGGTCTGACCCTGGGAGCCACTGGGTCCCTCTGTCCATGGAGAAGGCAGACGAGGCTCTGGCTGGTGGCACTAGCCCACCTCCTTGTCCCTCCTCTGCCCTCACTCGTTATGTCACCTGGGATAGATTCCTTCTTCTCTCCGAGTCTCAACTTCCCCAGCAGTCTCCCGCCTGCCCGCCACCACTTCCTGCCTCTTCCTTCAGAGACCAGACTCTTACTTCTCTCTTCCCTCGGGCTTCCCCCTCCCCACCCCACCCCCACAGTGATGACAGTCCCTCACCCTGGAGGGGTCGGGGGTCCTGACTACTCACTGCCCCCACGTCAAGGCTGCACTTCCACCCACGCAGCGGGAAGAGCCTGCTCCCCTCAGCCTGCCCTAGGCCCCAGCGAGCCTGCCGGCGCCGTGTGCTTCTACTGGGTGACCCTGAGCACTTGCCTCCCTTCTTTGGGCCTCAGGTTCCTCATCTGAGAAATGGGTCCCCAACAAGGTCTGGGACAGAGTGTGTATGCCTCTTCAGGAGAGAGACCCCTACATCTCCATGTAGGCGGGCCCTACATCATGCTCATCTGTGTCCCCACCTCTGGCCCAGGGCTGGGCAGAGTGAGCATCTGAGTCTGACCCTGGGCTCAGCTCTGGCTATCACTGACTGGCCATCAGGGGGCTGGTGGGTCCCCTCTCCTCTCCCAAGGGGAGGGGCTGGACAAGATGACCCATTCCTGAGGTTCCTCCCAACTTAGAGCCTGGGAGAGAAGGGCAGGTGTCCCGGGGGCCTCCACGCCTGGTCCTGCCCAAGTGCCCCGCCATGGTCAGACTATGTGGATGCAGAAGGAGAAAGGGCGGCATCTCTCCAGAAACGGGCATGGCTGCCGGGACCAGAAGATAAGAGAGGAAGGCCGAGGCTGCAGATGGACCGCGGCCATCAACTGAGGCCCCCAGGGAAGATCTGTGTGGAGCATGAGCCCAGAAGGGCCAGGCTGGCTGCTTAGCACGAGGGGTGGGCGGGGGCGGCGCCGGGTCCCCCTCGGCCAGCTGCCCTGGAGAGAGCCGGGTGAGGGTTGCACACAGGAGCCAGCAGGGGTGGGAGATGGGCCCAGGTCTCGGAGAGGCTGAGGTTTCCCCTGCGGACAGAGGAGCAAAACCACAGAGCAGCTTGGGGAACGGGGAGGATCCCCGAGAGGGCCAGGAAGGAGCCCAAAGACAGTCAACCATCGTCCCACTCGCTCGGAGGCTGGACAGGCAGACCTCTGGGTGGCAGCCTAGGGCTCTGAGTCAGAATTAGGGGCAGGGCTGTGAGCGCCTGGCTGAGGACACGGGGACGTCCAGGGGTCACTGAGCGTAGGGACCATCAGCCTAACCTCACCTCCCCTTTGGCGGGGTTAGAGTTGCGTGCCCTGGGGGTGGGGGTTGACATAGTGTATTTGGCTTCCAGCAGCTCGCAAACGGGGCTGGAGGTGCAGTAGGAATGCATCACCCAAGAAGGGCTGGTTAATGGGCCAATGCCAAACAGGGAGAGGCCCTGAGGGTCCCAATCCTCCCCCAACCACACACACAGCAGAGAGAGGTGGCTTAGCTGTCCTGTGTGTGATGGTCCCTGGATTCACTTACAGAAGGGCAGGGCGAGTTTCCAAGGTTATGCGGCCTAAACCATTAACTGGATCTCGGGCCACATTAACAAAGGCAGGGCACCGAACACTGGGGAGGTGATGGGCCTGCGCACTGTGGCTGGCTGATGTCCGTGGGAAGACTGGGCTATCTGGACTCCACGCCTTTAGAAGGAAAGCTGGAGCCCAGCTGTGGGTGTGTTTTTAAGAGGAAGATGAGGAAACTGGAAAAGCCAGGCTTGGAGAAGCAAGGACTCGGGGCTGAAAAAGGCGGAGGTAAGATCAGCAGAAAAGGGCAGCTGGCTGGGCTCCTGTCACTTGTGAGGTCCTTCCCGCCTGGAGGTTCTGCCATTTTGCCCAGCTCTGCCTGGTTCTGGGCTGTCTCTGTCCTTGGAGCTGGCTGGCGGCTGCCCCATCTGCTCAGGAGACCAGCCACCTTCTGGGCTGAGGAGGTCCCCATCCTCTCCCCTCCTCCCTCCCACTCCCCGCTTCCTCTCCTTTCACTACATGAGGAGGGGCTCCCTCCCAGCCTGGCCTCTCTCCCCTTCCTGACCCAGCAGGGCTGCTCCGCAGAAGCCGCTGTCTCTGTCAGTGTCTCTACGTCTCTGTGCATGTCCGCACGTGTGCCGTTAGCGTGTGCGCGTCTGCACGTGTGTCTCTGGCCCTCAGGTCTGCCTGGCTCCGTCTTCCCTCCCCAGTGACTCCCCCCAGGGCAGAGCCACGGTGGGCCTGGCACCTGGCTGGCTCCTCCCCACCTCTGCCCCCCGCTCTGGCTGGGAGTGGTGATCCTCCGCCCCAGGCCTGCCCACAGAGGTGGCGGTGGGGGGCGGGCGCCAGCACAGGGTACGGGTAGTTTCTCACAGGTAACAGGCCTCGCGCGCATCATCCTGGGGCCTGCACGGGGCCCTGCCTCGGCCTAAGCCTGGGCCGTGGAGCTTGGCTGGACACAGAGAGGATGTTTAAAAAAATAGAGAGAATTTAAGCTTCCCAAAAAAGATGGGGACAGAGGAGGCGATGGAGGCCGAGGTGGGGCGAGGAGGCGAGTGGCTGTCCGAGAGCTCTGGGTCCCTGGGGGTGACACGGTCTGTGTGGGCAGGACACAGCCCTGTGCAGGCTGTGCTCAACTGCCTGTCCGGCTGTGCCCAGCGGGCACTTCAGCCAGGCCCGGCTGGCCGAGGGGAGGGCACCATATGGCTGTCGGGTAGGAACTCTGCATGGAGTAGAGCCGGTCGATGGGGTTCCCCACGCGGGCCTGCAGGGAACCCACGTCGGAGGAGCCGAGGAAGCAGTCACTGAGGCTGGTTAAGGAGGTATCGCTGTCGATGTCGTGGAAGATGGAGTCGTTCCCTGGGGGGCAGAGGGGCGTCAGGAGGGGGGTGAGGGCTGAGGCTCCTGGGGACCCTGTCGGCCTACAGGCTGTGGCTGGAGGTGAGGGAGGGGCAGGATGACCTGCCGGCAGCTCCTGAGCAGAGGG